GATGATCTCCAAGGAGAGGAGTTTGGATGCCTTAAAACTTTTTCCTTTTAACCAGAACAAATTAATTAAACTATAATAAAATCGTTCAGATGTACGTACCTTACACACATGTATTAATTAAAGTGGGAGTAAGTGGAGTAACATTGTCCAAGAGGAAATAGAACTCATTACCTGACTTATGAAACTAACTCCTGTATACAGTACCTTAATAATCAAAATAAAACATATTAAAATATTTCACAATGAAATCCACTCTTTATAACTAATATGTAATAAGAAAAACAAAATACTTATAAAAATAAATTTCCTTTTTTGTCAGGATATAAGATGAAGTATAAAAGTCTCATATAGATAGATATATGTATATATATCTATATTTGTTCATGAGCACATTTGGGGAGAAATTTGGCACTTTACCTTAGAATTGAAAGTTCTGCAGCAGTTTAATAGAGAAATTTCAGAATTTATACCCAAAAGTATTCAAACAAAATTAAATAGTAATACTAATGAAAATCTTTAATAACCAGATACGAGAAATGACCTCGTAAAACAATAATACAACTTTTGATTTGTTAGAAATATCTGTGTACTATCAAAAATGTATAATTTTTATTATTAATTTTAAATATAATTTTACTTTTAAAGTAAATTGTATTACTATGGTTATATATGTATGTATGCATGCATGCATGCATTTATATATATATATATATATATATGCAGAACATTGTTGTTTTATCTATGTCTCACATCAGGCTTCCTAGGTCCAGTCTCAGGCCATAGTCAACAAAATTACTTATTTACTGGCATAGGCAGGACCAATTTAAGAAAGTCCCAGGCACACAGCAAATCAGAGAGGCTTGACAAATGAGATGACACAAAATTATTTATTTAGTAATTATTGACATAGACAGGACCATTTTAAGAAAATCCCAGGGCACAGCAAGTCAGAGAGGCTTGACAAATGGGATTATATCGAACTTAAAACTTTCTGTCCAGCAAAGAACATAGCTACTTTTAAGACCTTTATCAGGCATCTCTATAATGGCCTAATATCCAATATGTGCTATACAAACATTAACTTCTCCCAAACAAATGATACAATCAGTAAGTAGGCAAAGGAGCTACATAGAGGCTCTTACAAATAAGGAAAAATAACCAATAAACACATGAGGAAATGTTCACCATTTGTGGCCATTAAGAAAATATATACCAAAACAACACTGAGATTCCATTTTACCTTAATATTGGTTAACATGAAAAATTTGTACAATAACTGATGCTTGCAGGGATGTGGGGGAAAGGAGCCCTATTACATTATTGGTGGGAATGTAAACTAGTACAACCATTCCAGAAGGCCATTTGGAAATTTCTCAATTAAACATTAAAAATTAAACTTCCTTTTGGTCCATCTATACCACACTTTGGCATCTTTCTAGTTCATTACAAGTCAGGATATAATAAAGACACTTGCACATCCATGCTCAATGCTACTCTATTCACAATAGCCAAGTTATGAAAACAGCCTTAATGCCCTAAAATAGATGAGTGCATCAAGAAACTATGGCATGTTCACACAATGCAGATTTACTCATCCATTAGAAAAAGTATCATGTCATTTGTAGGAAAATGGGTAGACATAGAATAAAGAAATTATGTTAAGTGAACTCAGGATTAAAGATTAAAACGCCACAGGTTTTGTCTCATATGTTAAAGCTACAGCTAAAATACAGCTAGGTATGGTAACACATAGGGCTCAATGCGTTTACTCACAAACTGACTAAAGGAGAGTGTAATTAAGGGAGGAATCCAAAGGCATAACTACTTGGAACAACTAACGTAGTATTTATCAAAATGAATACAAAGTAATGGAAACATTTTTTTCTGAGGGGGAAGGAGAGCAAAGGAATGGAGGCAGGAAGCATGAATAAATGAAGTCTTTTTATTCAGTGTGTACTGTGTAAAAATAAACTAATTTGTGGATAGGACCAGGAAGTGAGAAAATGGGGGAGAATGGAAAATAGGGTGATATTGTCAAGAAGCATCATTTTCATAACCTGACTTATAGAATTGTAACCCCTTTGTAAATCTACTCAACAATACAAGAAACTTCTTAAGAAGTAGATAACATCCTTTAAAATAGAAATTTTTAGCAACTACTCTTATTTCCTTAAGAAACGCTTAAGGTTGAAGTGGCTCTGTAGCTCAAGTGGTAGAGTGCTAGCCTTGAGCTGAAGAGTGCAGGGACAGCCCTCAGACCCAGAGTTCAAGCCCCACAACCGACAAAAAAAAATCTAGAAACTTTTTTTTGAGGGGGGGAGTCCGGTCGTGGGGCTTGAACTCTGGGCCTGGGTGCTGTCCCTCAGCTCTTCAGCTCAAGGCTAGCACTCTACCACTTGAGCCACAGTGCCACTTCCAGCTTTTTTTTTTTTGCTTATGTGGTGCTGAGGAATCGAATCCAGGGCCTCACGCATTCAAGGCAAGCACTCTACCACTGAGCCACCTTCCCAGCCCTAAAATCTAGAAACTCTGAAGGTTGAAATGAAGAACCCAGACATGTACCTAGCTATGCAATCAGAAAGCCAGGAGGATCTTTTTTTTTTTTTTAAACCTCTACTTTACCAACCAAGTGGCTATTATAGTCCTACCTCTATGTATTTGTATCTGTTATCCCTTGGATTTCTGTAAGTCTTTAAATTAGCTTTTGGTCCTTATTCTTTCCATGTTCCTAATTTTTTATATTACTGCCAGTATTGTTTTTAACAAAATCATGTCTTAATTGTGTTTTGGTATAATTACCTGTAGGGAGATGCAGAAAAGGTTGGTAGATGCTTAAACCATAGGTGAATAAATATGTTTAAGCCCAGTGCATGATGCAGGATTAAGTAACACTAAGAAGCAATTTCTCACACATTTAACAAACTAAATTTAAGTAAGGGCAGCTTGTACTGAAGAAAATCCAAGTCATTGTATTGAAACTTAAAAAAAAAGTACTATCAGTTATGCTAGAACATTAAGTTAAAAAAAAACCTTAACACAGAACTTATATACTTTAGAATATGCTCATCAGCAAAACAGTCCACATGTTTTCAGAGACGGATACCTGTCCCAGTGATTATCACTGAAACAATACCCAAAATGTCAAATATAGCCTGGGAATCAATCCATCAGCAGAGAACCACTGTTATATTGTCAATTGTACATATGAACAAATATTAACCCTTCTATTTATCTGTAGTACCAATTTTGATTGTTTTCTGTTCATTATAGATTTTGCTATACAAAATATAAATTTTCAGCCAGGTGCATGTGGCTCACGCCTGTAAACCTAGGTACTAAGGAGGCTGAAATCTGAGGATCACAATTCCAAGCCAGCTGAAATCTGAGGATCACAATTCAAAGCCAACTATGGCAAGCAAGTACATAAGACTATTGTCTCCATTAACTACCCAAAATACCAGAATTGGAACTGTAGCTCAAGTGATAGAGCACTATCCTTGAGTGGATAAAATTCAGGAACAGTGCCCACATCCTGAGTTCAAACCCCAGAAAAATTAAATTTTGAGTTAGGCAAAAGTGCCTCATCTCTATAATCCTGCTAATCAAAATACTGAATTAGGAATGTGGACTGAAGCCTCTTAAGGCTGGAAAATGCTTGAGACCCTGGTCTTTATTTAACCACCAAAGAAACCAGAAGTGGAGTTGTGACTCAAGTGGTAGAGCACTGCTTTGAGTAAAACTTAGAGACAGTGTTTAAGCCCAGATTTCAAGCTGCAGGACTTGTACCCCATATCACTAAATGTATTACCTTCATGATCTCTGTTCCACAAAATGCGGGACAAAAGATGACAGGACAAATTTTATTCCTGTGCACATTTGTAATGAACAAGGACTAGTATCTTTCCTTAGATCTCCCACATTCAAAAAGTGAACTGGAGCTAGGCGCTGGTGGCTCATATCTGTAATCCTAGATACTCAGGCAGCTGATACCTGAGGATCATGGTTCAAAGCTAGCCTGGGCAGGAAAGTCAGTGAGAGTCTTATCTCCAATTAAGAACCAGAAAACAGAAAATGGCACTGTGGCTCAAGTGGTAGAGCATTCACTCACTTTGAGCTGAAGAGCTCAGAGACAGTGCCCAGGCCCAGATTTCAAGCTCCACGAGCAACCAAAAAAAAAAAAAAAGTGAACTGGAAATAGTAAGTTGTGTTAAATGACATGGATCATACATAAAATCGGAAACAAGGGAGACTTTAGGGGAGCAGTGGAGAAACTGATGATCTCATTGCCTTGGCTCAAACCACTGATATTTTCCCACCTATTACTCCCTAAACCACCTTGGAGATTCTGACTCTAGTCCAAAAGTGCCAGAGCTTCTGAGGAGGTTATAACATTACCTTGGCAAAACATTCTTTCTTATAAAAGATACAAATCAATAACTTCACTCTCCATTTGTCAAGCCTGGAAGTAATGACCATCATTTTGTCCAAATCCTTTGGATAATATTCAGGTACATTATCCCCATTCAACACCATGACAGGATAAGAAATGATGGGTCAGTGAGTGTCCAAGAGTAGAAAATGGACACCTACCTTACCTTTACCATGTAAGATTTCTCTAAATAACTTATCTTCTTATAATTTGGGTTTCGTTCCTATGTGAATGCTCTAATGCTTGAAGGTTGACTTCTTGTTGAAAAACATCCTCTATTCCTTAAAATTACAGGGATTCTGTCATGTGTTCAGATCTCTAATACCAGTTTATATTCATAAAGTTTCTCTCTGTATGTTCAATGATGTACACTGAAGACGGACTTCTTATTACAAACATTGTACTCTGTTACATTCATTAGTTTTCTTTGATGTTTAGTTTTCTAGTTCTCTGATACATAGTGAGATTTGACTTCTGGTTGGAAGGCTTTCCACATTTTTTATATTTATAACGTCTCTCTCCTGTGTGTGTTCTCTGATGCATATTAAGGGTTGACTTCTGTTTGAAAGACTTTCCACATCTGTTACATAAATAAGGCTTTTCTCCTACGTGTATTATATGATGAATACTGAGCCATGCCTTCTGGGTGAAACACTTTCCACATTTGTTACACTTATAAGGTTTCTCGCTTTTGTATACGCTATGATGCAAACTGATATATGCCTTCTGGGTCAAAGATTCCACATTTGTTACATTCCCAATGCTTCTCTCCCGTGTGTGTTCTCTGATGCACACTGAGGTGTGACTTCTGCTTGAAAGACATTTCACATTGCTTACATAACATTTCTCACCTATGTGGATTCTCTGATGCAAACTGAGCTGTGTCTTCCAGGTGAAAGACTTTCCACATTTGTTACATTCATAAGGTTTCTCACCCATGTGAATTCTCGTATGGCTGCTGAGGTATGACTTCTGCTTGAAAGATTTCCCACATTTGTCACATTCGTAAGGTTTCTCACCTGTGTGAATTCTCTTATGTCTGAGAAGAGCTGATTGCTGAGTGAAGGACTTTCCACAAGTGTTACATTCATAAGGTTTCTCACCTGTGTGCGTTCTCTGATGAACAGTAAGGTCTGCCTTCCGAGTGAAAGACTTTCCACATTTGTTACATTCATAAGGTTTCTCTCCTGTATGAATTCTCTTATGTGTACTGAGATCTGACTTCTGGATGAAGGACTTTCCACATTTGTTACATTCATAAGGTTTCTCACCTGTGTGCATTCTCTTATGCATGATGAGTGATGACTTCTGGGTGAAGGATTTTTTACATTGATTACACTCATAAGGTTTCTCACCTGTATGTGTTCTCTGATGAATAGTAAGGCTTGCCTTCCGGGTGAAAGACTTTGCACATCGGTGACATTCATAAGGTTTCTCTCCTGTGTGAATTCTCTCATGTGTGATGAGTGATGAATTACGAGTGAAGGACTTTCCACATTTGTTACATTCATAAGGCTTCTCACCTGTATGAATTCTCTTATGCCTATTGAGGGGTGACTTCTGCTTGAATGACCTCCCACATTTGTTACATTCATAAGGTTTCTCTCCTGTGTGTGTTCTCTGATGAATACTAAGGTGAGCCTTCTGGGTGAAAGACTTTGCACATTTGTTACATTCATAAGTTTTCTCACCTGTGTGAATTTTCTTATGCCTCCTGAAAGTTGATGAATTAGTGAAGGACTTTTCACATTTATTACATTCATAAAGCTGCTTGCCTACGTGAGTACTCTGATGAACAGTAAGGCTTGCTTTCCGGGTACAAAACTTTCCACATTTGTTACATTCATAAAGTTGCTTGCCTATGTGAGTACTCTGATGCTTGCTGAGCACCGATTTCTCAGTGAAAGATTTCCTACATTCATCATATTCACAGGGGTTCTCTCCTTTGTGAATTTGAGGTCGGAAAGACAGGTCTAACTTCTGACAGACAGATTTTGCACATTTGTTATACTCATCAGACTTCTCCTCTACATATCTGCTCTGAGATTTTGTAAGGTGTATTTCCTTACTGAAAGATTTCTCACATTCACTACATGTACAAGGATTCTCACATGTGTGCATTTCCTGATGTGTAGTGACTGTTGATCTGAAGTAGACTGTTTTCTCACATTTAGTACATTCAGATATTTGCCAACCTCCCTGAAGCATTTTTTGCCCGATGAAGGCAGACTTATCTCTATATTCATTATTGCTATAGAAGATCTCTCTCTTTAGGCAATTGTGCCTAAAGAATTTGCTCTCGGAGTTTAATACCTTTCCTTCTCTACCATATTCAAAATACTGCTTGTCATTTGGACTCTCATAATGCTCCAAACAGCCGAGGTATTGTTCAACTACATGAGAGACATTAGGCCTATAGGAAGCATGCATCTCATCAGACTCACTACAGAGAAGCATGTTCTGACAGCCAATGAACTCCTCACTCCTCATCCTTAAGTTCTCATTATACCTAATCTGTTTTGGCATATGTTTTGAGCTCAAATGAAAGGTTCTTATTAATTTCCCTCTTTCCTCTACTGCATTGCTCTTGGTAGCCGATACTTCACATGGACATTTATCTGGACTTTCCTGGTATGTCTTAGTCACATCTTCCATTTCTTGGACATCTAAAAGAAGAAAAATGACTGAAATAGATACATTTCTTAATATAAAGATAAGACATTTCCTCCCATTCTAATTACTAGCCATTTTAAAGTATCAATACGAGAAATTGATTTATGACAAATATATGCTTTTTTCCTTCCTTATACACTACTGATATTTTACAATTCAAAGTAACTTTTTTATAGTTTTGTTAAGTTATAGGGGGTTAGTTTCTTTTATTTTCTTGAAATAATTTATATTTTGTGCTGCTTTGCTTCTCAACCAGTAGTTTAAGAACAGGAATATTTTCCAGATTAATTGGCCATAAGAATGTTTTATAGATCCCTTTGCCTTTCATCTAAGCAGGAATGGGTTGTTTTTTTGTTTTGTTTTCTTTTTTGGTCATGAGGCTTGAACTCTGGGTTTGGGCACTGTCCTTGTGCTCTTCAGCTCAAGGCCTGTGCTCTACGACTTGAACCACAGCACTACTTCCGGTTTTCTAGTGATTTATTGGAGATAAGAGTCTCATGGACTTTCCTACCCAGGCTGGCTTTGAACTGCAATCCTCATATCTCAGCCTTCTGAGTAGCTAGGATTACAGGCATGAGCCACCGGTGCCCGGCCGGAATGGTTCGTAAGAGTAAGGATTTATACCAATTTCTTCACTTCTAACTTCTTACTAAGAATTATTATAGCTTTCTATGGGGATTTTTTAAATCCCTTTTTCTCCATCTTAGAGAAAGTCTCATCCAAATTCCTTTCCTGAAACTCCTGGTCCAAAAGACCATAGAAAAGATACTCCAGCTCACCACCCATGTAACTATATTCTCTAGAGTAAAAGCTTTGGTTCTGATTCCCAGTCTCTGCCCATCACAACTGATAAGCTTTTTTCCTTATCTGAGGAGAACAGCCCTAGTGTCCTTCTTACTTCCTGGTACATGCATACTCATAGTTCTACAGTTTTGTTTTTTTTTTTTGTCTGTCGTGGGGCTTGAACTCTGGGCCTGGGCGCTGTCCCTCAGCTCTTCAGCTCAAGGTGAGCGCTCTACCACTTGAGCTACAGTACCACTTCCTCATAGTTCTACAGTTTTGTTTTTTTTTTAAAAAATGATTTCCACAAAGAGAAAGGAATATTGCTACCTTTAGCTCTATTCCCACACAAAATTCAATACATCTCCACATGAATTCCTGATTCATATGTCTTTGAGACAAAGGATCACCTACTTCTTGGACACACATGTGACTCAGGAGAATTAGGAACATTATTGCTCAGTATAGCTAAACATAGACATACCAACTGGGCTCTGGCTCCAACACCATTGTGCAAGATACATGAACTTAATCTACCTGGGAAATTCTTGTTCAGGGTTTCTCCCATCCATGGTTCTGCACCTTGCTCCAGCTTGACAATCAATTTAGGTTTAGGAACACAGTGCCCTGTTAATAAGATAAAGTGAGAATCAGTAGGGTACTGATGGCTCACACCTGTAATTGTAGCTACTCAGGAGGCTGAGATCTGAAGATCGTGGTTTAATGCCAACTCAGGCGGGAAAGTCCGTGAGACTCTTATCTCCAATTAACCACCAGAAAACCAGAAGTGGCACTGTGGCTTAAGTGGTAGAGTGCTTGCCTGAGCTGAAGATTTCAAGAACTGTGCCGAGGCCCAGAGTTCAAGCTCCACAACCCGCCCCACTCGCCGAAAAAAAAAAGGATACAGAGAAAACTATTGTTCATGCTGGGTCATCCTTTTTTTTATTGATTTCAGACATCCTGGTATATGGGGTTGCTCCTAAACCTAGTTTCTCATTTCTTACCCGCTCCATGGTTGACTTTCCTTATTAATACCAGCTTTGGATATTAACTACCACCTTTAAACTAGTGATTTTCAAATCACAGTTCCAGTAGTAACATACATTTTATTCTAGATTATATATCCACCTATAACAATTGCCTTAAGTTTGAGTAGACAGTCCCTTGTTAATGTAACATTGTTACTATTTTTGTCAAACTGCTGACATGGCTTCTTGAAGAATTACAGTAAAACTGCCTCAGAGTTACATAATCAAGTTGAAGTTTTTCTTAGAAATAAGTGATACTTCCCATGGACTGGAATCTTAGATGTACATAGCACTGTAACTGATTCATATATCTACTAAGAACAAAGCACTTGACCTTGTGTGTTAATGTAACTTTTGCTCACCCAAGGATACTAGGTTGCTATAGGTCTCCAGCATTACATCCTTATACAGGGTCCTTTGAGCAATGTCCAGGTCCTGCCACTCTTCCCAGCTGAAGTCCATAGCCACATCATCAAATGACACCAGATTCTGTAATGGCAAATATCCATCAACTAATTAGCCCAAGTCATTAAATACCAAGTCTGTAATTTCATTCTTCTCCATGTATACTTTAGTCTTACATAAAATGTTTGGTGATTTCTCTGTTATCTATAGAGTTGGAGAAAGAAAAATCAAAATAGAAATATTTGCCTCTAAGAAGTCAAGCATCTGGCATGATGACACTAAGTATAAGTAAGTAGGTACCTTATTATGCTAAAGTGTACTACACATCAGGGTAACAATGCAGTGAAAAAACTATTTTTTTCCTGCATTTTCATATTCTGCCTCATTGAAAAGCCTACTTAGATCTTCTATTCAGTTTATCACAAGGAAAAATACCGCATTATGAGATAAACCAAAGCACTGTCTTGATAAGTGTTAAAGGGAGCAACAATACTCAAGAATTGAATTAATGACTAATTTAGCACTTACAAGATATAACTTAGTTCCTACAATAAAAATTGTTGTTATTGAATTTCTAAAGATTAATGTATAATCATAGGTGCCCTGATACTTCCTTCCTACATAAAAAGGAACTCCTAGCACGTACTTTTGTGAACACCACCTACCCCATACAATATGGAACATAGGTGAGAGGGGAATGTTTCTTGATCAGATTTGAATTTTAATAGGTTTTCATGGGATGGAAAACAAACGGATAGAGTTTTAAGAAACATTCAAGATGACAAAAACAAAAAACAAAAACAAAAAGTGAAGCCTAACTGCCATAAGCAGGACAGAGAAAAACAAGAATAAAAAGGGATGGGATCTAAAATACAGAAGAAAAACTTTACAAGTTGGAATGAAATATAATTTGTTGTGCAAAGGCTAAATGGAGAGATGTTTTTACTCCCACATTGAACCATATTACAAATGAACAATGGCCAACAATCCTTCCAATCCAGCCATGCTTCACAACACCAGAAATGAATGCTGACTAACACACAAAAAGGAAATATATCTGTAAAGTGTTGAAAGAAAATAACCTTCAATTCACAATCTACTTGTCAGAGGAACTCTTCTAAAAATGTAGATTGAAGATATTTTCAGAGAGAGATAATTCATCAATAGTATATCTACACTTAAAGACTGCTACAAGAAGTTATCCTGGTTCAAGAAAATAAAAAAAGGTGCTAAGTTAAATACACATCAGTTAAATGGCAAATGTGTAGGTAGCATAAAGAATATGTTTTATATAATTGCTCTAAAATGAATTTTCGAAGGAAAAATTACAGCACCATATTCGTGATTTACAATGCATAAAGATTCAATTTTTATAGACATAAATGCATTAAAATAAAGTATATGGGGGCTGGGAAGGTGGCTCAGTAGTAGAGTGCTTGCCTCACATACATGAGGCCCTGGGTTCGATTCCTCAGCACCACAGAAACAGAAAAAGTTGGACATGGTCTTGTGGTTCACATGGTAGAGTGCTAGCCTTGAGCTGAAGAGCTGAGGGACAGCACCCAGGCCCAGAGTTCAAGTCCCACAAACCAAAAAAATAAAGTATATGGACTAGGGATATGGATCTGTTTATTTGTATAAATAAAGATAATATGAAATAAAGATAATATGAAAAGAAATAAACATCAGCCCAAACAGTATGACCACAGACACAGACCACTGATAACAGACAGATCATATATCTAGATAATAAAAGTTGTATGCTGAAAAACAAAGTCTCCAGACATTTTTAAAAAGCCATCAAATTTTATTTTTTATTCCATCATTGCTATTGGAGAAATAATTCTTTGCTTAATAACTGATAGAACAAAATGACAAAAAGTCATTTTGAAACACATACACAGGTGATATTATCTTAACCTCTTAACCTAACTGCTGTTTATAAAAGTTGTGTTACATTTACCAAGACAGACACAAGTAAAAATAAAGTATTAAGACAAACCTTGTAGAAATCAGCATGAGAAATAAAGCTGTAATTTAAAATACATTAAAATTAAACAGTATAGTTCTAATGATCTAAGGGAGAAATAAACATCACAGGAAAATTAGAATGGATCTAGAACAAAATGTATTCCAGTATTGGGATTTATAGTATATATTAAAGGTTGCCACTCTCTTACCTATGGAGTTCTGCTGGCCTAGACTACATGCTTAGTAAAAAAACCTACCACAGTTAGAACAGTTATAGTTATTAGGAATAAAATACAACACCTGCTTTGAAACATGAAATATGTGAGTATAGGTTGAATATTAATTTCTTTTTTTTAATTGTGAAAATACCATACAGAGGGGTTACAATTACATGGGCAAGGTAATGAATATACTTTTTTTTAATTTTTTTTTATTGTGAAAATACTGTACAGAGGGGTTACAATTACATGAACAAGATAATGAGTACATTTCTTATCAAGCATTGTTGCCTCCTCCTTTGTTTCCCCTTCCCATCCCTTCCCATCCCCCCCCCCCACCAAAGTTGTAAAGTTCATTTTTGGATATAACGTCTTATACATCTCATTGTTGCAATGGTTCCACCTGTATCTTTAGTTAAATGATTTGTTTTTTCCCTTCCCCTCCACAAATTATACCGACATCAAATACAGTGAAAGCAGGGGAGGCACATACAAAGCAACAAAGAAATCATCTTATAAATACGTTAGAAACAATCGCAAGAAAGAAAAAACATTTGAGTCCTCACCTTGGGGTTCATTTCACCTAACATCAACTTATCTGACCATTTCTGCTTGTCTCAGACATATACTACTTACTACAAATATTAAGTGAATATTAATTTCTATATAAACCAGTAGTATGGGCTGTGAAGGTGGCTCACAGTGGAAGAGCGCTTGCCTTGCATGCATGAGGTCCTGGGTTCGATTCCTCAGCACCACATAAGCAAACAGCCAGAAGTGGCACTGTGGCTCAAGTTGTAGAGCACTAGCCTTGAGCTGACGAGCAGAGCGACAGCGCCCAGGCCCAGGCCCCATGACCAGACCCCCCCCAAAAAAAATAAACCAGTAACAGTCTCATATTATTGTAGTATCCAATTAACTGTTAATGTTAAATGTTCAGGTAAGAAAAACTGAAACAAAACATAGGTACAGTTGCTTCTGGTTCAAGACTGTTATCCTACCCTAGCTACTAAGGAGGCTGAAGTCTGGAAGCCAGTGAAGACAACTCAAATTAACCAGCTAATAAACAGGCTGGGGGCATGGCTCAAGTAACAGTGTCAGTAATGAGTGAGAAATCTGACTGTGAGGGCTGTGAGTTCAAAGCTCCAATACTGGCATAAGAAAGGCATGGTGGAAGTAGGTGTTATCACATGAGCTTCTGAGTTAGAGACCAAGTATGGCCACATAGCAAGTCCTCATCTCAACATAAAGAGAAAAAAAGATGAATAGTGGGGGGAGGGGGAGAGAGGGATGAGGGCAGGGAAAAGATAGAATAAAAGATGAGACGAACAGAGTAGAGAGGAAGGGAGAAGAGATAAAGAGAAAGGAGGAAGAAAAGAGGAAGGAAGAAAGCTTCATGACATCAGATTTGACAATTACTTCTTGAATATGACACCAAAAGTGCCTCACACAAAACCAAACAAGCTTAAGTGCATACAATAAAACCTTGCACATCAAAAGGCACTATCAACAAAGAGAAAAAGTATCTCACTGTATGAAAAAAATCTGCATATATATCTAAATAGATTAATAATCACAATTAATTAGAAAATATAAAACAAAATCCTATAATTACCCCCACACACAAATCTGATTTTATTTTTGTGTTCAAATGGCATGCCTATTTGTTCAGTACATCAAATAGGATGCAAGCATGGTCATGACAAATATATAGAAATATGCAGATCAACATAAAAACAGTAATTGACTTTCAATGGAGGGAATTCTTTTTCATGTTATAACAATATACGCCCCAAAAGAATCTCTTCCTTAATTATACTTTTTAATAACATAAGGGTAAATGGATTAAGTGGCAATCAGCTTGCCATTTTTCCTTAAGAATAAAACTCCACCTCTATTAATCCATGCCAGTTAAAACACTAAAACTAAAATGTATAAATAAGTGCAAAAGAAGATGAAGTAGTTACTTTTTCTGTATGAACAGTCCAGAGAAAAGTATTTACTACAAATATAGCAGGCAAACAGACTGATCCATCTACAATGTAGCATACTAAATTTCAGTCTCAAATTATGCTAAATGCTCATCATGAATATGACATACTTTGATCCATGATGTGGTTCAATACCAATATAGATCACAATTTGTTAAAAAAACACAAAGATCACTGTTGTCTTTTGGTTGGTTTTAAATACACACACACACACACACACACACACACACACAAGCTACGTATATGTCCACATACAAAGAAAGGGTTTCTCAGAAGGACTTTACAAAAAGTAGTCTGGAGTGCACCTGTTAACATGAGGCTGTCCTCAACAAGGTGCTGGGTAAACCAAAGAACACGGTATTTTAAAGTGTCATCTAATTCAATGATAGCAGCCTGGTTCCCACAATAGTAAGAGTAATTGGGTGCGCTAAGAATGGTAACCATACTCTAACCATGGCACCAATGTAACCCTCTAGTGTGAGATGAGTATGAGACTGTTGGCATGGTTAAATATTTCAGAAATGTCTTGTCCAAATGTATAGCCAAAACCATATGCTGAAATAGCCCATCAACCACGATCATCTGGATCCAACCATAACAGTTCACACGTCAGCCTTTGGGTGGAACTTCCTGTTAGTGATCCAGAGCTCTTATATGAGCCATGTATTTATGGATGGAGGGAGGCCACCATGAAGGCAGAGCAAAATATTTGTCCACCTACGAAAGCTAAGTGGAAGATAACCAAATAAATCTGTAAAATATTCCCAAATATTGGCATATCTATACTTCTGTAGACATTTGTCATACAAGCCATAAATGAGTATTTGTAGTCTTTCATGATTTCCTCTCAATATTGTAATACATTCAGGATATGGAATCTTTAATGCTATAAGAAAAGTCTCCACAGAGTAATAACCTCAATCTACATAATTACCCATGATATATAGTTTGTATCTGGTCATGGAAGTGGTCATGTACATCTCCACAGATAATGACAACAAACTTCTTTCACATTTGATACTTTTGTTAAAATGTCCTTAGCTTTTGCACACAGCATCAACACTTAGCTCTCACTGAGCTGTTTCCACTAGTTCAGCTGCTTGACCCACTGGGTCTAGCTCCTTGATGAATGCCTTATCATCTACTGCTACTGGCTCCCTGGCAAACTTCCCACAAGCTGTCCCCAGGGACTATAGCCTCTCCAATGGCCATTGGCCTTAGCCAGCTCCCAGCAAGAGAACAAGCTTGGTTGCCAGTCCTTGCCCTGCTCAAGTCCAGTGGGTGGCTACAGGAACCTGCCTCCAAAGTCCAGGTTGCGAGCTTTAAGGGTGGTGAGCAGCACCGCAAAACGTGAGGCAGAGTGTATTTCCTCAGGACAGCTCCTCCTGGTGATGGCTGCCCACCTCCTCTACCACTGCTTATTTCTACAGACTTTCAAAATTTGATTTTAATAGGAGGGGAAAAGATTGAAAAAATATTTCTAAAAGGAATATAGACAAAAATAAAAAGAAGTTCATATCTGCAATAACAAGTATATGTCTGAGACAAACAGAAACTGTCAGACAAGTTGATGTTATGTGAAATGAACCCAAGATAAGGATTCAAAGGTTTTTTTTCTTTCTTGTGATTGTTTCCAACATATTTATAAGATGATTTCTTTGTTGCTTTGTATGTACCTCCCCCAGGGTATAAGCCCTACTTTCACTGTATCTGATGTTGGTATAATTTGTGGAGGGGAGGGAAAAAACAAACTGTTTAAATAGGGTTACAGGTGGATCCATTACAACAATGAGATGTACAAGATGTTATGTCGAAAAATGAACTTTACAACTTTGGCAGGGTGGGGGGTGGGAGGAGATGGGGATGGTGGTGGCAGGGAGGTGTAGGGGTGTGGGGGTAGAGAGGGGAAGGGATGATATGAGGAAACAAAGGAGGAGGCAACAATGCTTGATAAGAAATGTACTCACTATCTTGCCCATGTAATTGTAACCCCTCTGTATGGTATTTTCACAATTAAAAAAAAAAAGGAAATCACAAAAAAAATAAGTTCAATATCACTAGTCATGACATAAATACAAATCAAAATCACAATGAAATACCTACTTTATACCCCATAGTCTGGAAATTATTTGAAAAACAAAAACCAATCCCTGAAAAATCTAGTGAGTGCCAGGAAGGATGTAAAAAAAATTGTGAACCTTGGTGCAAAACAATCAAAGATGTTATGGTGAAGCCTAAAAAGAACTACAAAATTCACAAGAATATGGTGCAGGACTCCTATTTCTAGATTTGTACCCAACAGAAGAGAAAATGTGGACTAGAATGAATATTTAGAGAATCATTTCACAACTACTTACAATAACCAAAACAGAGAAACATGCAAACGAATGGGTAAATGCATTGGAAAGGAAGAATATTCTAATACATGTTACAGCAGTAATGCACCTTGAATACAATAAGCTAAATAAAATACACCAGTCACAAAGCAACAGCCATAGTAGGATTTCCTTTACTTCCAAGGTTCAACAAACTCATAGAGCCAACAAGAATGATGAATTTAGAGACTTGGGTAGAGAGGAACAGGAGCTGAATATTTAATGATTATACAGCTTCATACATGGAAGATGAAAAATGCTATAGATGGATGGAAGGGATGGGCACACAACAAAGAGACCATATGTAATACCAGCAAATTGTACATTTAAGAATGGTTAATGTAGCCAGACAGGATGGAACACACCTATACTCTCAGAACTTGGGAAATTCAGAAAGGATTACCAGTCAGCCAAGGCTACATGTTAAGTTCAAGAGCAGCCTGGACTACATAACAAGATTTATCTTCAAAAAGAATATGGAAAAACCAATTTTGGGGTTATGTAAATCTTATTAGAGATATAGGTGACATATGGATCAATAACAAACAAAACAGTATCAACAACAAACACATATAGACAAAAGACATAAATTATTATAATCTGTGCATCTTGCTTTTACAGCAGTACATGTTTTCATTGACTGCTATTCCAATGTATCACAGTTATTTCTGAATGATTTTTTCATTTTGCTTTGTTTTTTTAGTCAGTCATGGGGCCTGAACTCTGGGTGTGGGCACTGTCCCTCAGCTCTTCAGCTCAAGGCTAGTGGTCTACCAAACTCAGAGCACCGCTTCGGCTTTTTCTGTTTCTGTAGTGCTGAGGAATCAAACCCAGGACCTCATGCATGCGAGGCAAGCACTCTTACCACTGAGCCACCTTCCCAGCCTCCTGAATGGTTTCTTCCAGTAGCTTCCTAGGGATATACTGCCATACATGTTGGCTAGAAGCAAAGTTTCCATGAGATCTAAGTTTATTACTAAACAAATGTTAGTCAGATTTTGCCACCAGTGACACTTCAAATATAAAAACCTGCCAGGTGCTGGTGGCTCATGCGTGTAATCCTAGCTACTCAGGAGGCTGAGATATGAGGATCACGGTTCAAAGCTAGCCCAGGCAGGAAAGCCGTGAGACTCTTATCTCCAATAAACCACCAGAAAACGGGAAGTGGTGCTGTGGCTCAAGTGGCAGAGCACTGGCTTTGAGCTGAAGAGTTCAGGGACAGTGCCCAGGCCAGAGTTCAAGCCCCACGACTGACCAAAAAAATTAAATTAAAATTAAAATTTGTATATATATATACATATATATACAAATTTTAATTTTATATATATAATATATATATATATTTAATTATATATATATTTTTTAATTATATATATAAAATATATATATAATTATATAATTATATATATATATATGTATATATACATACACCTAGTCATTGTATCAAACCTGGTTTCTATCTTATACTGGCAGTGACTGAAAATATTCAAATGGAATGAGATGAAAGAACAAAACTGTAATACCTCATCAAATGAGATTAGACCAGAGATAGACAACAGAATCAGGATATATCAATTTTTTTGCTGTGTATCAATGGGTGTAAGGTTGTAATTTTCCTATATATAGGGAAAGAAACATGCCAATTCTAAGACCCATCTCAGCAAAGGAAAATTGATCAGTAAGAAAAATTAGTTCTAGGATATATCTTTTGTAAAAAGAAAAAAGTGAGAGATACAGGGAGAGAGGGAGGGACTGAGAGAGAAAAAGAGAGAGAAAAACAGATACAAAGAAAGAGCAAGAGAGAAATAAAGAAAGCTAATGCTAGGTGCCAGTGGCTCACAGCTGTAATCCTAGCTACTCAAGAGACTGATATCTGAGGATCATGGTTTGAATCCAGTCTGGGCAGGAAAATATGCAACACTGTCATCTCTAATAAACTACTAAGAAAAGAAGGGACACTGGCTTAAGTGGTGGAGTGCTAGCCTTGAGCAGATGGAGCTCAGGGACAATGCCCAGGTGCTAAGTGCAAGGCCCAGGACTAGCAAAAAAGAAAAAAAAAAAGAAAGCTGGGGAGCAAGAAAGAAAGAGAGCAAGAAACAGAATAAGGAGAGAAAAGAGGAAAACAACAGCAAAACAAATCTTGGAAGGCCACCTTTGAAAAAAAGAGGAAGTTCTAGAAAGACAACAGACTATATCAAATAAGTTTCAAGTAAGACAAAAGACTAGGAAGCAGTCATGGGATTTAACTAATGAGCTTCTAGAACACACAACTCTATGCTATAACTCAGTCCTCTAGAACATTCAAAGGTGTTTATGACCACACTATTTTAGCAATTTCAGTAAGACTTCATTAAGATAGTTCAATGTTGCTTGTGAAGATGTGCCTTCTGAGCAGTTGTCAGTGAACATTCACCTTCCATGAAGTCACCTCCTTGGTGTCACTGAATCACCTAACAAGTGTGACTACTTCTCATATCAGAAAAACTAGAAACAAACTGAAGCAAATCTGAACTCAATTTAGATAGAATGTAAGATTTTATAATCTGCTAAATCTACAAGCTATTTTTATCTTATTTATGAACATTTTCCTAAAGCTCAATCTATTTTTCTATTTTAACTCTTGGATCTCCTTAAGTTAATAAGTTGGAATACAAAACAAAGTTAGAAGTAAAAAGTAACTCACCAGAGATCCACTCATTCTTTGTTGCTGATGACAATGAACTGAAGGTTCAGGAAGCATAGCTTCCCCAGCTATGAGGTAAATGAGGTAGTCAAGATAGAGCCAGTGTAAGTTTGTCCCAGATTTTCCTGCTCAAAACATTACATGGGCTGGAAAAGAATAAAGCCTCCTTATAGGAGAAGAAACTTTTATAAATCAAGTAGAGCATTAAACTCTCCATTAAAGATGAATGCAGTCCATTAGTTAGTAGATAGATATTATAAAAGCAACTAATTTCTAGGTTAATATATATACAGAATTCATAAAAACTAATATTCCCACACAAAATAACAATAACTGAAACAAAAGGCATATTACAACATCACTAAATTAGTTATTACTGACATACA